TTGGCACCTGATGCTTTTTAAGTTGTAAGCACCCACTAGTTTAGGAAATTTCAACTCTAAGGGGTTAAAATAAGGCATGAATTATTTGAAAGTTCTTTATTTTCAAACTTAGAAACACGGAACAGGAAATAATCAAACGAGCAAAGCCGCTGCCAATATCTAGGTAGTTTTTCATAACAAAATCATTTTTCGAGATCGCCTGGTGGTCTTTCATCAACAGGCCTTTGTCCAACAGTAGACTATTAGAGGCTGTTGATGTTACTGACCAGTATAACTTGATCTGTCATTGTATAAACTTTTGTACCACGAAAGATTCACATATAAACTGGACCTCTACAGTGTTACGCAGCCGTTTTTTAAATAACTTAAGTTCATAGTACATATCGTGTAATATTTTTAGCTTTGTGCACGAATATTAAATGCTTCCGTACTTATTTAAACAGGGTTACAAAAAATTGGCTTCGCGAATTGATTCAGAGAAGAAGATTACTAGAGGTTGCCTGGTACTCCATTAAGAAGAGATTACTACACCATAGCTGAGTTGGAAGAGAAGCCGTACCCTTAGCTGTACAAAGAGTGAAATAATGAAACAAATCTCACTTTCAACCTCAATCGACTCTATTATAAGAACCCATCTATTCTGTTCTTCTTTCTTTCTCTTTTTTTTGATTAGATTATGTCAATGTACCATCGATAAAGCCGACATTCCACGGCCGTATGGCGTAGTAGTTTCGCCAAAGATCGTGAATTTGATTTCCGCTGCTTAGTTCGGGACTAGATGGTGTTGTGTGAATGTGGTAGAATATTATTATTCCGTTTAATTAGTGCAAGTTTATTGGAACGAAGTTCCTTATCGCGCGTTGTGAAAGGGGGCTAGACGGAAAAAATTCTTACGAAAATTGGTCACGACACTTTTTATTTTGAATTGTCACTTGTCAGTCATTCAGCGCCACCTATCGAATAGTAAAATTAAAATTTATGTTCTTAGGTTGAGCAAAAAATATTGTATTCGACATCATTTCTCAAGGAGATTTTACCAATGTATAAATTGTTTTAATTAGAAACCAACTGAAAAATATGTAATAGCCGCTTTCATAGATGGCGTTGTAATTAAAATCGTGTCTAATCAGTTTTACTCGATCGTAACAACTTCGTTCCTATCGGGTGTCCCACGACACCACACGGCTTTTTCTACTCCATCTTTTTATCTGTGAACTAAATGTGACCAGAATAAGCTGTTAGTCATGGGTGCGGTAGTCACTTAACATCAGATAAACGGTCAGCTCTGCTCTATTGAACTTAGTCATAACATTTCGATAATAGAGAGTGATAATTTACAGCTATATCTTGGAAGGAGTAACCACAGATGTATTAACTTTACTCACACACACACACACACACTGGCAAACACATACACAAACGCACACAATCGTTCACACACACACACACACAAACGCCCACTCACAGACACACAAACGCACCAGAATCCTGGAGTTCTTAAATACAGGTACGGAACTACTCGTAGTTTACGCTTCAGTCCACCTCAAACTACAAATTTAATTTTGCACTAATTTTTATAATTCATTCGATTTCAAATAATTTTATTTTGTTATGAAATAAGGTTATTCACCGACTTCAAAAAGGAGGAGGTTCTCAATTCGATTGGTATTTTTTTTTATGTATGTACACCGATTACTCTGAGATTTATGATCCGATTTACGTGATTCTTCTTTAGTTTGATGCGGAATAGTTGCCATTTGGTCCCATAAAAAATTAACATAGTTAGGCCCAGTAGTTTTCATTTTATGAACATTTTTAATGAATATTATTTTGAGTTCGAGTTTGAACGTATACAAACTGTATTATTATTATGTTTTACTGTCCAATAGAGAGTTATATATCTATCTATTTAGCTACGTACTCTTTCATACTATGATAAAATTAATTGAAATAGATGAGTAAAACATCCTTAAATTGAGTGGGTAGGTTTATCATAAGAAAAAAGACTATCATTAACGATAAGCACGTTCATTAACTACATAATGATATCCAATTAAATATAAAAGTGATATATTATCATTGATCGTAATGGTTTTGTTGATATTTAATATAGTTTCAACAACAGCCTTTAAAAGTCCACTGCTGGACATGGGCCTCTCCTTAGAAAGGAGGTTTTGGTGCTACTATACCACGCTGTTTAAGAATACAGAGTATCACCACCCCTATTCATCCCGTGGGTGTCGTAAGAGGCGACTAAGGGAGCGAACTACGCAGGACAATAGCACTGCAGAGAGAAGGAAACCTTGACACAAACCCTATACCAACCCGTCTGGCCAGCGTTGCCACCAAAACCTCCTTTCTAAGGAGAGGCCTATATCCAGCAGTGGACTGTTAAAGTCTGTTGATGATTGATGAAAATTCACCATTTAATAGATACATAATCTGATTTGCATACGTAATAACTTCGAGTAGGTAGTTAGAATATTGATGTTTCATCTTCGTGTTATGCATTCTTCGTGACTTGAGCTACCATCAACCAATACTTGTTTTTAATTGTTACACAATGTAGTTTTGAAATAAGAGGTTTTAATTGATAGTGTTTTTTGCATTTAGTAAATAAATCTGATTATACCAGGTAGGTTTCGAACCTGCTACCACTTTGGAAAATTCCGACTGCCTTGTAAAGTTTCTCTATTAATAAATACTATTACTTTTAAATGTATTTATATTCGATAACTGCCATTTTATTATCTGATGTGCAATTATTTTCATTTTCCTGATAATTACTTGAAAAATTTCCTTTAAACCGGAGCGGACATAAAAAAAAGATAAGCATTTCTAATCTGTATCTTTCAAAGATAAGGGTAATTTAACGAGAAGGCCTTATCTGATAATAAGGGTTTATCGCCGCCATGGATATTCTTGAAGTCCGAGTTCACGCTCCGAAAACTTTAAAGGTTGTTTAACGTGTGTTTTCTGTGATCAGTACGGTATCATTTCCGTAGGCCGATAGCCGAAGAATAGTTCCCCGAGGAATAATTATGTCCATTACTGAGGTCAAAATAAATGCAAAACAAGTAAACTGATTCATGAGAATCCTCGCAAAATATGGAAGCAATTATTTAATTAAATAATGTAATCGGTAGAAATCATGTTGCACTATCACGACTCAATAGCGGAACCGTTAAATAACCGCTGAATCATTTTATCAACATTACGAATACTTATTATAAAAAATCTAACTGAACGACTGCCTGGGTAGCGCAGTGGTAGTTTCTGCGACTGCTGTGCTACTGTCTCGGGTTCGATTCTGTTCGATAAATGTTTGTATGATCTGCAAATATTTGTTTTGGAGTTCGGGTATTTTTTGTAATGTAGGTAATTGTTTACGATCGACTCGTAAACAATTTTATCTTGAATAACGGACATTTAGAAATATACTAGCTTCGAACAACACGCCTTTTATTAAGATCTAATTTAAACTATAATTAGTTTATAAAACAAAAAGTAATATATATTTGTGTATACAAACCAGTCTGAAGTAATTTACATTATCAATCTATTAGAACTTTAACATATGAACGTCCTGTAACTAACATAGTCAAGCGACTTCCTGAAACACAGGTCTCACACCTAGCTCAGGTCGTTTACAAAAGACATTTTAAAATTTTGTCTTTACCTCTTTATATTAAATCTTGCACATTTTAGAATAGTCATATACTAGTTTTATGTTAGCTTAAGTAACTTTACATAAGAATCTAATGACAATAAGATTAAAATCATATACAAAATGTATCCTAGATTTTATTCTGATTCTGCAAATATATTTTTATTTCATTTTTTATTATTTTTAAATAATTATGTCGGTTGGTCGGTTGAACTCGTTCGATTTTAGGTCGGGGCAGTGGTCATTGTTTATGCGCGGGACGGGTTTTCCCCTCCACCCGCTATAACGGCCAGCCGCGAGGAGGTGACGTCAGCGTGTGCCGGACGTCGCCTAAATAGAGAATTTACCCGAAGGTGGTGCCCGCGCCGTTGCGGTTAGCGCTAGGAGGGGTCTGAATGTCTTAAAAACAACAGTGCCTGGATCCCTCCTATTACAGACGCAGAGTGGCACACCGTGTGGTTTTATTAATATTATTTAACGGGAATTAACGCGATCTCTTATTTAGGGTATTACATACCTCTGGTTTGCCTGACGTTTCGACCACGGCCGGTGCAACCTGGTCGAAACGTCAGGCAAACCAGAGGTATGTAATACCCTAAATAAGAGATCGCGTTAATTCCCGTTAAATAATATTAATTATCATGGAACGCGAAAGTTTAATAACGTGTGGTTTTAGTCGGTCCGATTCCAACGCACCACCCCGCCGTAAGCCCTGGTGGGGTGACGGCCTGAGGGCGTTTCAGATCGTTTAGATCACCTCAACATGTACTTTAAGGTGAATAAAGTGCCAGACGATTTGAAGTTTCTAACTCTAATCACATCGATAGGTGATGAAGCTTACCAGCTTTTAGTGAATCTGGCAAGTCCAAGGAAGCCAGCGGACTTAACATACAGTGAAGCGGATATATGCATGCGTCAACATCTGCAACCGACCCCAACTTAGTTAGCCGAGCCGATTTAGACAAAAGCGGCAGGGAGCAGAAGAAGTTATGGCTACATACGTCGCGGAGCTAAAGAGCTCGAACTCAAACTCTCTTTATTTCATTTTTTTTTTAATTGTTTGAAATCGTCTTTTATGTAGACTCTAAAGTCATAGATCAACACACACCAAAGCAACAATCTCTGTTTTGTCAAATAGTAAGCAAATAAATTTAACAAAAGTCAAACCCATACAAAATGATGATATGCCTATGCCGATCTACAACCGCCCGTTTCCAAGGGGTTGAGCCTTATGAGAAGACATGGCAAACATACTCATGGCCACTCTATTGCAATGTTCGGAACTGTAAATCCTTGACAGGCCTAGATGAGAATCTTCGAGATTTATGTTTATATGGTCTTAGGAGTGGGCATTAGGCAACGGCTGTTCGCGAAGCATGACTCAGTTACCTTCACTCAAGCTGTGAAACTTACCAGTTCATTAGAAGAAGCGGAGAGAGATGATTCGGCAGTGGAAGGTAATACAACAATGTCTCAAGATGCGCTTGTGCGGTGCATGCACATACGCTGCAAACGGACCACAGCAGTACCGGAAAAGAGTTGGCAATGGGTATAAAAACATCAACAGGCGTATGGCGGGAACCGGTTCGCGAGGAGTGGGTGTGCAGTACTCGTCACCGGTCCCCACGACTACCAATTGCGGAGCACAATGATAGCAGCTGTCGTTTCAAAGGGTACACATGCATTAACTGCCAGCGAGTGCTTCATTTACGTCGAGTGTGTCCGGAGTACAACGGACATTCGGCGAGAGGAGGGTCTGCTCAGCAGTACGGAGGTCCACGACATAGGGTGCATTTCTGGGAGACGGGTCATGTCACTCGTCACTACGGGTCTAGTGAGGAAGACTGCAAGGACATCGAGGAAAGCTTAAATATTATAGGACTTAATCGTTATAAGGCCGTTACTTTGTCTGTGTATATTGAGGATAAGGTTGTAAATATGGAGGTAGATGCCGGCACTGCCATATCCTGTATTAATTATAGTACATATCAAAAACAATTTTTTTAATTTCATATTAAAACAAATGGGTAATATTCGACCGTGGGTATGTTATCGTAACCGACAAAAACAATTAGGTTTATTAATTATAAAAAATGGTACTACGTCTCTAATAGGCATACAGTGGTTGGCGGAACTTAAAATAAATATACCCACATTTAATAGAGATACGGATAATACAATCAATGCAAATAATTTAAACACTGAACATAGAATTATGCAAATCCTCGACAGGTATGAAGCATTGTTTAGTGGCGGACTGGGGCGATACACGGGCGGGAAGGCGACGCTTCGGGTACAAGACCAGTGCTAGTGTTTCACCGTGCGAGGCCGGTGCCTTACGCGCTGCGCGAGCGCATTGACGCCGAGCTGGACAGCATGCTGCGCGCCATCGTCATCAAGCCCGACGACTGCTCCGACTAGGCGTCGCCATTGGTGCCCGTCACTAAGGCATACGGTATGAATATGTGCGGATTATAAGGCGACTCCTAACCCTTGTCTTGCTTGTCGATCGATATCCCCTCCCTAGAATTAACGACAGTAAAATAGATCTGACGCAGGCTTATAATCAAATTGAATTGGACGAGTCTACAAAATACACACTAATTAATACACATAGGGGCCTATTTATGTACAATAGGTTAGTGTATGGGTTATCTTCAATTGTCGGCATTTTTTAACGTATTATGACCAATTTGTTTGGTAACACCTAATGTACAGGCTAAAAGGTACAGGTAAAAAGTAAGGCTGACCATTTACAAGCATTAGAACTAGTTTTACTTAGATCATCGAAAAGGGGGTTGAAGTTAAAAGGAGAAAAGTGTGTGCTTTTTGTAGACGAAGTAAAATATCTAGGATAATTCCCAAGGATAGTGTCAAAACAGATAAGGTTCTGGATGATAGGGGTAACGAGGTGCATATGCATATCTACCAGTTAAGACGAAGGACGAGGAGCTCGCTGGTAATCCCCACAGGTCCCTTACAAGCCAGTACCAGCACAACGCCGGAGGTATCCCGTCGGAGCGTTCGCCTTGAATCTCGCTGACGCAGTAACCCAAGAGTGCGGGACACCATCAACCGCCCCTGTATCACCCCCTATAGGAAGTGTAGATTACGTCAAATGATTAATTATAAGGAGTAATATTGGTTAAGCGTTGTTAATCATATTGTTTGTTAATTTTACATTAATCTCATGTATAGTATAATAGTGGTGGAGGGATGTAATGTAGGTGGTTGTAATTCGTAAACAATTGTATAACGGACATTCAGAAATAAACAAATATCAAACAACACGCCTTTTATTAAGATCCCAAAATATAACACTTTCTATAAATAATATGTATATATTTAAAAAAAAAGTATATAAGTATTCTATCAGTTCATCTAGCTTTCATAGTACAAGCTCTGCTTAGTTTGAAGCTAGATGGCGTTGTGTTAGATGTCCGGAATATTATTAATCTACTAGCTGATCCGGCAAACGTTGTATTGCAACAAAAAAAATTAGGGATGGGTCACCCAATTCCCAGATCCCCTTGAACACACACAAAAAATTTCATCAAAATCGGTCCAGTCGTTTGAGAGAAGTTCAGTGACATACACACTCACAGAAGAATTATATATATAAAGATAATTATTATAAATAAAGTTCGGACTATACGGCAGCATACATACATACTTTCTAAACCGTATAAAAGAGTCATGCCGCCCTTTGAGTCCTTTTGCTAAGAAGGAGGGGTTTGGGCTCTCTCCCCACCGCACCTCACTCAGTAAAAAGCAATGGCACTGTACGGTGCACCGGTGTGGGCGGCGGCTCTGAACGCCCTTATGAGGGCACGTCTTTGGCGCCCTCAGAGAAAATTGGTTTTCATCGTCGAGTGGCCAGGGCGGCAGCACGGGACCCTTTCCTTCCGGCAGATGAAGGGCCTTTCCGTTCACGGCTGCTTCGGGAAGTATCTGCACTCGGTCGCTAAGAAGGGAATTGAGTCCCGCCTGTCACCACTACGATTGCAGTGAAGCCTGCCATAAAGGCCATAACCTGCCATAATGGCTAGCCACGAGGAAAGGCCTAAATGGAGAACATACCTGAAGATGGTGCCCGCGCCCTTGAAGGCAGGATGTCTTAATAACAGCTGTTCCCGGACAAGTTGTTAAGTTCGTAAACCTTCGTTCGTAACCTAAGTCAATACAATTGATTATTATATTCATTTCTTTCTAACGACAGTCCATGTTATACTGATCAGTGAAACAAAAGACGAGGTAACACTAGGAATGTATCCTGAGTCGAGTCGAATGTATCCTGACAAACATACATGAAACTGACACAAAACTTACAAAGAACACTCAGATTCAGAACAACAATTTGTGGATCGCACAAAGTGTTGTCCCATGTGTGGATCGAAACAACAACACTGAGCGCAGTAGGACGCGGCGAGGTGACCGCTTTAATCCATGAAATCTTCTAAATTCAATCGTCTCAAGTTTTTATAACATAATCATTAACTCATAAGTCTAAAATGACGTAAATCTAACTGAAGTAATTCCTGAAAACATACTTTATTCTGACGCAGTAACGATTAATTTTTAAAAATACTATCGTTATATTTCCAATGTATATTGAACTGATTCGTCATATTTCTTAGTAATCTCTTTTCAATATCGCCTTATCTTAAAGTCAGTGACACAAGTAATATTATTAAGTTTAATGGTAAGGTCGCGACCGTGATTACAACTGAGGCTATTTGCGGGGCGAAGTCTAAATACTGAAGATTTTTTTTTGGCTTAAGAGTGGTGGTATCCGTGTGGTGACGGATTAAGAATACAGATTGTCACTACCACTATTGATCCCGTGGGTGTCGTAAGAGCTGACTGAGGGAGCAAACTACGAAGGACAACAGCACTGCAATGAGAAGGAAAACTTGAAACAAACCCTATACCAACCCGTCTGGCCAGCGTGGTATAGTAGACCAAATCCTTCTTTCTAAGGAGAGGTCTATGTCCAGTAGTGGAGTATTAAAGACTGTTGATGATGATGATTTGGAAAGTTTAATGGTTATTTGATGGTAAGCGATTACTGACTATGGACATCTGGAACTCAATAATCACAAGTGCATTGCCGCCTCCTCGTCAATAATTAGCGGGGGGGAGGGAGCTGGGCTACAATAACCTCATTCACTAAGCCGTCGTACGTATGTACTGTCATATGCCGTGTTTATGGACGAGCCGACTCAAAACTATGGTCCTTTCTTCAAAAGGCCAACCCAGAAGCTATACTGTACTCACATGTACTCTTTAACATTGCACACGGACTTAAAAAAAACACCTCCGTGGTTTGTTTCGGCGTTTCTTCCCAAGTGAGTCTTAGGAAATGCCGACGCCTTACTGGCAGAAGGGTAATATTCTGAGCTGTCTAGGCCTAAATTAATAACAGCTGCACTAAAGACTATAAAATACTGCACGGATGGCATAGTGGTCGCCACGCAGTTTTTTGCTAGTGTTGTGGGTTCGATCCCCACATGGGACGGCACTTTGTGTGGGGTCCACAAATTGACAAATTGTTGTTCTGAGTCTCGGTGTTCTTTGTGTCCGTTACATATATGTTTGTAAAGTCCCCCGCGACACAGGATACATTCCTAATTTGGAAGTTGTTTTAAAAAAAATATCAGAAAAAAAGCTTTGTATTATAGTATCTAGAACATGGATTTACATAGTTTTAGTAGATAATATTAATAACTTCACACGGCCGTCTGATCTCTAACTAGGCAGAGCCTGTACTATAGTAACCAGACTGCTGATAAATATACTTATTTAAATTTTAAATACATACATATTATAGACAACTTACACCAAGACACAGAACAAATGATTGTGCTCATTACACAATTATTTTTCCTGGGTGGGAATCGAACCCACAATTTCTAGCTGAGTAGTTAGAATCATTAATCACTAGACCATCTAGATGTATTCAAGCTAACAAATATTTGCGCTGAGCGGTAATCAAAACCGCGATCCCTGATATTCCCATCTAATACTGTTCACACCGCGCGGATTATCAGACGCCTCGACGAGTATACCATTTCATAAATAAACCACATTTAAGGTAATCAGATAATACAGATAGTATATTATTTATCTTATCGTAATAGTAAATAGTGAAAAGTTACTCACAAATGGGGCTATTAAAGAATATAAAATTAAAAAGTATAAGACTCTCTAACACGTTCCATTATTATCACGTTCATCATTCATCAGATAAGCGTGTTAAGATACCAAGTTGTTTTGAAGGCCGTGAACGCACTCGTGACTACCAAGTTGTTTTTTTTTTATGTTAGAGGGGGCAGACGAGCAGACGGGTCACCTGATGGAAAGTGACTATCGCCGCCCATGAACGTCTGCAACTCAGGAGTCATAAACGCGTTGCCGGCCTTTTAGGAAGGAGTACGCTCTTTTCTTGAAGGTTCGAAGGTCGTATCGGTCCGGAAATACCGCAGACCGCACAGGTTGGTTGTGCGGGGCAAAAAGTGTCTTGAAAAGCGCACAGTAGTGGAGCGCCAACTATCCAGGTAATAAGGATGAAAATTTTGAAGTGTGGAACGATGGCGGGATTTTGCGGCTGGTATTAGTCCGAACAATTCCTCGGAGCTCTCTCCATGATATATGCGATAGAGAATGCAGAGTGAAGCCACATCTCTACGTAACGCCAAGGGATCGAAACGATAGGAGATGTTTGGGCTATCGACTATTCGAGTCGCTCTTCGTTGGATGCGGTCCAGATTGAGAAGCTGGTACTGAGGTGGTACTGGTGTTAATGTGTTCTCTCGATCGTCACGAGGACCATAATCAAGGCTGTGATTGGTGAAGGTAGGTGCAGTCACCGTGACGATCGAGTTAACATGAAGTAAACTAGCACTAAGGCCTCAGGTGACCAGTCTGGTCATTGGTTCAAAAATTTAAAATAATATGTTCCAAAAACTCGACCAACCCCTATATTACCCGGTAAACGACAATATACTATTAAGTTAGTGGGACTAAAATTATAATTAGCAAAATGTTAGCATGTCTGGTCCTTCGAGATTCTGATTTACAATATGTCGAAGGACCACACATATACGTCCTACCAATCACGACCGAAATCTTCGATCAACCAACAATATGCTTCCTCAATGCCCCCTCACACCTCCAACTTCATCAACTCCTCCTTCTACGTCCAGTCAGTTCTTTTCTGGAATGCCCTCGCTGCCGAAATCAGGATGTCCAAAAACCGCCTTGCATTCAAGAGAAAAGTGCGCGATCTTCGGAGTGAATGGGCAGAACAGTCACAACGCTAGTACCCGACTGAGTATTTATATATTTTATTAAATTTATGTAGGTTTTTTTTTTTTCTTTTATTAAAGACAACTCCTGCATTAGGAATAAATCCTGTGTCG